CTGGGAGGGGTGCGTCCTCTCGTGCATTCTGCTGCTCGGTGTCCTTCTTGTCCGCAGGCGAAGCAGGGGCCCCTCCTTCCTTTTCTCTCGCGGCTGGCTGACCTCCCTCGGGGCGAGGGCCGCCGCTGCCCGCCTTGGGGCCCGGTAGCTGGGTGTCGGGTTCGGCCTCTCTCTCTCGCTCTACGTGGCAGCTGCTCCTGGTCACACTCGACCCTCCCCGCTAGGACAATCCATTCCTCTAGGGTGGCTGGGTTTCCCCTATGTAAAGACCATTCTAACACGTCGGGGCGCAGCCCAGCCCGGAAGTGTTCGAGCTTAGTGGCGTCCGACCAGTCTCTGATCCTGCCCGAAATAGCTTTGAACTCTAGGGCGTATTCTGAAACAGTTTTGTTGCCCTGCAGGATTCTCCTGAGTTGGCCCTTTGCTTTCTCCCCCGCCAAGGGATCTTGAAACCTCGCCCGGAGCGCTCTCAGAAAATCATCTAATCTTCTCAATTCAGGCGCCCGGCAGTCGTACATTTGCATGAGCCAATCGGCTGCTGCGTCTTTCACTACTATCTCTCCAGTGTCAGGAGAAGACTTCGCCTGGTACCGCGGAACCATGAAGGCAATCCTGACACGGAGGATAAGGAAGAAAAGGGGACGTGGGCAAAGGTGAAAGAGAGTGGCAGGAAAAACGCCATTGCGGGCGGAGCCGCGCTTCTCAGGGCATCCCATCCTGGGGCTCGGCCGAGGGAATGAATGGCCCAAAACGGACCTTGTTCGGCAGGGGCTCGTTTTGTGAACGTCCCAACAAACCTCAATGTGGTTTTGAATTAGATGGTCGTGGAGGAAGGGCCTTGATTGGCTGCAGGATTCCTTTGGGAAAAGACAGGAAATTTGGTGGCATCAGGCATCTAATTTGGGATGCTTAGGATGTGGAACTGAGACCCATTTTGGGATGGAAGGCAGCCCAGTAAAGGTTGGGTCCTTCAGCTGTTAGCACACCCTGGTAATTCAGGGAAGCCCGATATTCAGGGATTGGCACCCTCCATTCCTTTAGCCATATTTGTGTTTGACCCCCCCAAAAAAAAGTCACTGTGCTTGACGGGGTTCCACTCCCCCTGAAGGCGCAGGTTCGCAGCCTGGGAGTGATCCTGGACTCATCGTTGAGCCTGGAAGCCCAGGTCTCAGCGGTGGCCAGGAGAGCTTTTGTACAGTTAAAACTCGTGCGCCAGCTGCACCCGTACCTTGGGAAATCTGACTTGGCCACGGTGGTCCACGCTCTGGTTACATCCCGTATAGACTACTGCAACACTCTCTATGTGGGGTTGCCTCTGAAGACTGCCCAGAAGCTGCTCGGCAGCCAGGCTACTGACGGGAGCTGAGTACAGGGAGCGCACAGTTCCCTTGCTGTACCAACTCCACTGGCTGCCAGACAAGACAGAGGTCCTCCTGGTCAGTCGCAAGGCCGAACAGGGCATAGGGTCACAGCCTGTGTTGGAAGGGGTCGCACTCCCTCTGAAGACACAGGTTTGCAGCTGGATTCATCGCTGAGCCTGGAAGCCCAGGTTTCGGCGGTGACCAGGGGAGCATTTGCACAGCTAAAGCTTGTGCGCCAGCTGCGCCCGTACCTTGGGAAGTCTGACTTGGCCACGGTAGTCCACGCTCTGGTTACATCCCGCCTAGTCTACTGCAACGCTCTCTACGTGGGGTTGCCTTTGAAGATGGCTCGGAAGCTTCAACTAGTCCAACACTCGGCAGCCATGATTCTAACAGGAGCGGAACGCAGGGAGCATACAACCCCCCTGTTGCGCCAACTCCACTGGCTACCGATTTGCTACCGGGCTCAATTCAAAGTGCTGGCGTTGGCCTTTAAAGCCCTAAACGGTTCCGGCCCAAGCTACCTATCCGACCGCATCTCTGCCTATGAACCCACCAGGACTTTGAGATCTTCCGGGGAGACCCTGCTCTCGATCCCGCCTGCTTCTCAAGCATGGCTGGCGGGGACGAGAGACAGGGCCTTCTCGGTGGTGGCTCCCTGACTATGGAACGCCCTTTCCACAGATATTAGATTAGCACCATCTCTAATGGTCTTCCGCAAAAAAGTAAAGACCTGGTTATTTGTGCAGGCGTTCGAATAATTAGTGCAAAGACTGGTAATGACATAGGAATGGAACAATGGATGACGAATCTGGATCGTGTTTTTAGTGATGAGACGCTAGTGAATGGTTATTATAGTAATTGTGTATTAACTGTGTATTAGATTAGGTCATTAACTGTTTTTATATTGGTGCATTGAATTTTTGCTGTTTTTTGTGTGTTGTGAACCGCGGTGAGTCGCCTCCGGGCTGAGAACTGCGGTATAGAAGCAAAGTAAATAAATAAATAAATAAGCTTCCGAGCACAATTCAAAGTGTGCTATAAATCCCTATACGGTTCGGGCCTATAAATCCCTATACCTATAAATCCCTATACGGTTCTGGCCCACTTTACCTGTCCAAATGTATTCTTCCCTATGAACCATCAAGGACGTTAAGATCTTCCGGAGAGGCCCTGCTCTCGGTCCCACCACCTTGGCAAGCGCGTTTGTTGGGAACGAGAGACAGGGCCTTCTCTGTGGTGGCCCCTCGGCTATGGAACTCTCTCCCGAGCGAGATTAGATCTGCCCCTTCCCTCTTGTCCTTCAGGAGGCTAGTGAAATCCTAGTTATGGAACGAAGCATTCCCAGAATAATGGCTGAGACTGGTTACAGACCAAAGTGAGTGACCACATATGCGGACTGAGTTGAACATGATTTGACCTTGGCCATTTGGTATAGATGTATTTTATCTATATCTTGTATTTATTTATTTATTTATTTATTTACTGCACTTGTAGACCGCCGTTCTCAGCCCTAGGGCGACTCACGGCGGTGTACAACATATAAAATCAGGAACAATTACAACATAAGCAATATCACAACAACAATAAACAACATCACTATCCATAATACAATTACACTAAATCATTCGCGACGTCTCATCATTGAATCACAATCCAAGTCTCGTTATCCATGTTCCGTTCCAGTCGTCATTGCCAATTGTTACAGCACTTACTCAAACGCCTTCTCAAACAACCATGTCTTTAGGTTCTTGTGGGTTTTTTCGGGCTATAGAGCCATGTTCTAGAGGCATTTCTCCTGACGTTTCGCCTGCATCTATGGCAAGCATCCTCAGAGATGCAGGCGAAACGTCAGGAGAAATGCCTCTAGAACATGGCTCTATAGCCCGAAAAAACCCACAAGAACCTAGTGATTCCAGCCATGAAAGCCTTCGACAATACATTAATATATTTAGTCTCTTGCGGAATGTCATAAGGGAGGGCGCCAATCTGATGTCCACAGGGAGGGTGTTCCACAGCCGGGGGGCCACCACCGAGAAGGCCCTGTCCCTAGTCCCCGCCAGGCGTGCCTGTGAGGCAGGCGGGATCGAGAGAAGGGCCTCCCCGGACGATCTCAAAGTCCTCGTGGGCTCATAGGCCGAGATGCAGTCAGACAGGTATTTTGGGCCGGAACCGTTTAGGGCTTTGTAGGCCAGCACCAGCACCTTGAATTGGGCCCGGTAGCAGATCGGCAGCCAGTGGAGCTGGAACAACAAGGGCGTTGTGTGCTCCCTGCGTCCCGCTCCTGTTAGTAACATGGCTGCCGCGCGCTGGACTAGCTGGAGCTTCCGGGCCGTCTTCAAGGGCAGCCCCACGTATCGTTGTATGATGTTTTAACTTGTATTAGTAGCATTGAATCCTTGCTGTAAGCTGGTCTGAGTCCCTCCACGGAGGTTAGAGAAGATCGGGATAGAAAAGTTTTACATAAATAAATAAATAAATAAATGTGGTGCTCCAGTATTGGAGGCAGTTCCCCCCCTTCCTCCCTTCCTTCCGTCTTTCATTTTTTCTTTCCTCCCTCCCTCCTTTCTTCTTTCTTCCTTGATTCCATTCTTTTCAAAGAATCGGTGTTTGCCTTGGCTGGTCTCTGTTTATGTGCTTGAGACCCCGATGTCTGCATTTCTTGGTATTTCTATTTTCATCATGACCCATCAGTGGAAATGGAGGGGAAAGGGTTGTGTGTCTTTCAGGATTGATCTTTTGCTTCTTTCTTGACCAGGGAACAAGGATTCTATGGGAGCCACCTCTTCGATGCAGTAAGGAAACCGATGATATAGGAAGAAGAAATCCTCCCAAGATGACGAACTTGCCGGATTGTTGACCTCATTTGGAAAAAAGAAGGAAAAAAGAAGAGTTAAGAATCTGTATTACATTTAAACACCCATATCACTATAGACCTGAAGAGAAAACATCTAAATACCTGGAGTGTGAAAAGGGTTTCATTTGGAGGGATCATCTGAAACAACATGTAAGGACTCACACTGGGGAGAAGCCCCATGAATGCCTGGAGTGTGGGAAGAGCTTTATTCAGATTTCAAGGCTGGGTTCACATCAAAGGTCTCACACTGGGAGGGAACCCTACATTGCATGGAGTGTAGAATGAGCTTCGCTCAGAGTGGAGATCGACATAGACATCAGTGGGCTCACACTGGGGAGAAACCCTATACATGCATGGAGTGTGGAAAGAGCTTCACCGAGAGTGGCCATCTAGAGAGACATCAAAGGACTCACACTGAAGAGAAACCCTATAAATGCCTGGAGTGTGGGAAGAGCTTCACTCAGAGGGGAAATCTACGTTCCCATCAAAGGATTCACACTGGGGAGAAACCCTACACGTGCCTGGAGTGTGGACAGAGCTTCACTCAGAATGCCAGTCTACATAGACATCAAATGATTCACACTGGGGAGAAACCCTACACGTGCCTGGAATGTGGACAGGGCTTCATTCAGAAAACCAGTCTACATAGACATCAAATGACTCACACTGGGGAGAAACCCTATAAATGCCTGGAGTGTGGCCACAGTTTCTTTGATTAGTTGCAGGTCTACCGTTCACATGCATCAAAGGACTCATCACTGAGTGACACACACCCTTAGCACATGCTGGGATGTGGAAATGAAGCTTCCCTGGAATGCGGGCAGAGCTTCAGTAAGAGTGGAAATCTACGTTCACATCAAAGGATTCACACTGGAGAAAAACCCTATATATGCCTGGAATGCGGGCAGAGCTTCAGTAAGAGTGGAAGTCTATGTTCACATCAAAGGACTCACACTGGGGAGAAGCCCTATAAATGCCTGGAGTGTGGAAAGAGCTTTGCACAGAGTTCAGGTCTACGTTCACACCAAAGGACTCACACTGAAGAGAAACGCTATACATGCCTGGAGTGTGGAAAGAGCTTCGCTGAGAGTGGAAATCTACGTTCACATCAAAGGATTCACACTGGGGAGAAACCCTATAAATGCCTGGAGTGTGGAAAGAGGTTCACTCAGAGTTCAGGTCTACGTTCACATCAAAGGACTCACACTCGGGAGAAACCCTATACATGCCTGGAGTGTGGACAGAGCTTCAGATGTAGTACAAATCTATATTCACATCAGTGGACTCACACTGGAGAGAAACACTATACATGCCTGGAGTGTAGACAGAGCTTCACATATAATTCAGATCTACATTCACATGAAAGGACTCACACTGTGGAGAAACCCTATAGGTGCCTGGAGTGTGGAAAGAGTTTTGCGCGTAGTCCATATCTACGTAAACACCAAAGGACTCACACTGGGGAGAAACCGTATAAATGCCTGGAGTGTGGAAAGAGCTTCACATATGGTTCAGATCTACATTCCCATCAAAGCACTCACACTGGGGAGAAACGCTATACATGCCAGGAGTGTGGAAAGAGTTTTGCATATAGTTCAACTCTACGTAGACACCAAAGGACTCACACTGGGGAGAAACCCTATACATGCCTGGAGTGCGGAAAGAGATTCACTGAGAGTTCAGCTCTACGTAAACATCAAAGGACTCACACTCGGGAGAAACCCTATACATGCCTGGAGTGTGGACAGAGCTTCAGATGTAGTACAAATCTATATTCACATCAGTGGACTCACACTGGAGAGAAACACTATACATGCCTGGAGTGTGGACAGAGCTTCACATATAATTCAGATCTACGTTCACATGAAAGGACTCACACTGGGGAGAAACCCTATAGGTGCCTGGAGTGTGGAAAGAGTTTTGCGCGTAGTCCATATCTACGTAAACACCAAAGGACTCACACTGGGGAGAAACCATATAAATGCCTGGAGTGCGGAAAGAGATTCACTGAGAGTGGTCAACTCTACATAGACATCAAAGGACTCACACTGGGGAGAAACCCTATACATGCCTGGAGTGTGGAAAGAGGTTCACTCAGAGTTCAACTCTACGTAAACATCAAAGGACTCACACGGGGGGAGAAACCGTATAAATGCCTGGAGTGCGGACAGAGCTTCACTCAAAGTTCAGGTCTCCACAAACATCAAAGGATTCACGGGGGACGGGGACTGTATAAACACGGAGCATGTGGAAAGAGTCTCTCTGAGAGTTCAAATCTATAGACATAAAGTTCACATTGGAGAGAACAGTGGTATTTGACCCCAGAGAGACTCCCTAAAACAGAGCACGCCAAACTGTTCATGTTGGTGGCACACTTTTTAGACATGTATCCTTTGGTGACACGATAATTCAGTTTGACTAGCCAACAAGGTTAAACCATGGATGGGCAAAATTTTTGCCCCGTGGTCATATTGTAGGCCAGGTGAGAAGGAGGAGGCGGGCCTGGAAGAGAGTCACCCTCAGGCTGTCCTCCCAGCAGAAGGATGGGGTGTATATATTACACACACACACACACACACATGCATACACACATGCACACACACACACACCAGAATGCTCTTCAAGCAAGTTGAGGATGGGAAATATTACTATTAGTGTTGTATGGATATTCTTATGTTTAGTACTAAACACCCACCCAAAATTTAAGAAATTTTGTGAAACATTAATAAGATTGAGAAGGGCATATAAAATGGATCATAGAATCATGTTGTTGTTCATTCGTTCAGTCGTCTCTGACTCTTCGTGACCTCATGGACCAGCCTACGCCAGAGCTCCCTGTCGGCCGTTACCACCCCCAGCTCCCTCAAGGTCAGTCCAGTCACTTCAAGGATGCCATCCATCCATCTTGCCCTTGGTCGCCCCTCTTCCTTTTGCCTTCCACTTTCCCCAGCATAATTGTCTTCTCTAGGCTTTCCTGTCTCCTCATGATGTGGCCAAAGTACTTCAACTTTGTCTCTAGTATCTTTCCCTCCAATGAGCAGTCGGGCTTTATTTCCTGGAGGATGGACTGGTTGGATCTTCTCGCAGTCCAAGGCACTCTCAGAACTTTCCTCCAACACCACAGCTCAAAAGCATCGATCTTCCTTCGCTCAGCCTTCCCTAAGGTCCAGCTCTCACATCCGTAGGTGACTACAGGGAAGACCATGGCTTGGACTAGGCAATGGATCTTTGTTGCCAGTCTGATGTCTCTACTCTTTACTATTTTATCGAGACTGGACATTGCTCTCCTCCCAAGAAGGAAGCGTCTTCTGATTTCCTGGCCACAGTCTGCATCTGCAGTCATCTTTGCACCTAGAAATACAAAGTCTGTCACGGCCTCCACGGTTTCTCCCTCTATTTCCCAGTTGTCAATCATTCTTGTTGCCATAATCTTGGTTTTTTTGATGTTTAGCTGCAACCCGGCTTTTGCGCTTTCTTCTTTCACCTTGATTAGAAGGCTCCTCAGCTCCTCCTCGCTTTCGGCCATCAGAGTGGTGTCATCTGCATATCTGAGGTTGTTAATGTTTCTTGCAGCAATTTTACCCCAGCTTTGCATTCATCAAGCCCCGCACATTGCATTATGTGTTCTGCATACAAGTTAAAAAGGTTGGGTGAGAGTATGCAGCCTTGCCGTACGCCTG